GGCTTTATTCCATAAGGCGGTGCATTAACTTGTAGCCTCCTTGATCCTTTTACGTCTTCCTTTTGTGATATATCAAAGTGGTTCTAGAGTAACATTTATTCTAGGTCTAAGCTAGTCCTCCTTCCAGAGCATGGCTTTTTTAGGTTCTCTGCTGAATGCTGAGAGTGTTCAACAAGGTCTTTCTGCTTTGGGTGGAACCTGAACTTCAGCACTGTATAACCTCAAGTCAGTTCATAACTCTCCAGGAGCTGTTTTTCCTCCAGTAGTTGTTCTTCGCTGGGACAGAAGGAATCTCACTCTATCTGTGCACAGATTAGTATTTGGCCAAACAGTCCTGTGTCCCTGCACAGATTTATGACCTTTCTTCCCCATATGGCTTTCTTCTCCACAGTTCCCCTTTGACACCACAAATTCCAATTTCCTCATGAGCCTCAAACCCTGAACTCTGAGAACTCAGCTTGCCTCAAACCCTGAACTCTGAGAACTCAGCTTAATGATACCACTAGGTTCTATCTGGCTCTTTCTTCCTGCACTGGAGAGTGGTTCCAGGCAAAAATCCACTGCCTTGTAGTAAACAAGTATCTCATTCATAGCATGGCTACCACATTTTCTGTCATTTTAGATGAAGTTTTTAAGGCCAGCCTAATGTTAATATAACTTATTTGCCTTTCCCTGTGCTGGTGTAAAAGCTCTATCCAAATGTTCATCATCAAATTCTTTCTTAAAAGCACTTTATGTTGTAGAAAAGGCCATTTTATCTTTTTACATTTAAAATTCTCACTATATCCTTCAGGCTATAGTTGGTTTGGGGTATAAGAAGATGGGCTGGAGACAAGCCTTCCAGGAGGTAATTAATCACTTTTGTAATCAGCACTTAGAGCCATTCGCAGAAGGTAAGTTAGTCAAGTGGAGAAAGAAGTGACTTCACCATCCTTTCAGGGTTATTACAAATCCTGCTAAGGTTACCATCATTAAAATTGCTATTAACTTTTCTTCCCTCATCAGGATAGTTAATTAATTCTTCCCTAAATTTTAAGACTAAGGCAATTAAGGGGGAAAATAAGAATTAACTTGTCCATACATGGAGCAAACTGATTCCTTTAGGAAGTTGTTAGGAGCGCTTCAAAGAAATGCATATGAAAATGGAATTGTGATACGTTAATCTGAGGCCCAGCTCACAAGACAAAAGTCAGCAGTCAATGAATACTTTATATATCTACCTCACTAGTTTGGCCTAAATTCTTCTATTTTGTCTTCCTGGACAGTGCTTTTCATTTTGATTTGGAAGATTCAGATTTTACAAATCCTAAAGTTTATATAATTTAAGGTAAACGCTTTAAGAAAAAGAATATTAAGACCTTTTAAGGGGCTAGTAAAATTGGTGAATCTGTTCTTGTTGATATCCTCTTTAGCAAATTGCATTTTTAAAAATCTTCAGTCATCATGTAATGACATTTTATACTCCATTTTATCATCAGTGATTTGATATTATCTGTGGTTAGTTTATTCTTTATCTTCCCCATACTATTCTGCAACATTTGTGTAACCAGGGTGAATGCCTAATCTTTAAAAGCAAAACAGCCAATATTTTTAAGCATTTACAATGTAATAGATAATTTTCTGGGCCTCCTTGGTGGCTCAATTGGTAATGAGTCTGCCTACAATGCAGGAGACATGGGTTTGATCCCTGAGTCAGGAAGATCCCCTAGAAAAGGAAACGACAACCGACTCCAGTATTCTTGCCTGGAGAATCCCATGAACAGAGGAGCCTGGTGGGCTACAGTCTACCATGTCACAAGTATTGGACACAACTGAGTGACAAAACCTACCTACCTACCTAGATAACCTTCTAAAATTCTTCTTGTACATTAACTCAATTAATTCTACTAACACTTTACAAAGTAGATACCATGTTATGTTTTTCCACATTTTAAATATGGGAGCACATGCATAGAGAAGCATACACCTTGTTAAAATGGCAGAACTGGACTCCAAACCCAGAATCAGGCTCCAGAATCAGGGCTCCTAAATATCATACTATTCTGCTTCTCCTTGTTGAGGGCTGGAAGAACACATAAGATTTTGAGCAGTATCCTGGGCACCAAGGTATCATGAGTCCCTGAGTCGAAGAATACCTAGTCAAATATTTATTGGCAGATGCTACACATTTAGAGCCAATGAGATCAAGAATAAGACTCCAGAAAACAAAACTGAGTATTTCCCATCCTGTCCAGGTAATGCTCCATCTGACTACTACTACTAGATATTGAAAGATAATGAAATGAAAGACTGTTTTGCATAAGCTATTTTATATTTATTTACATATTTAGTCTTCATTTGAGGTGCCCCATTGTCTACTTCTGGGACCCAGAAAACATGATTTATGATGTCAAAATTTTTTCCTTTAAATTAAGCAAGACAAATTGATCTCTGTCCTTATGACATTATCCTGGTGACTCCAGTAAGGCCAGAGCTACTGATGAAGGTCTTCAATATCAGTAAAACAAACAGCTACCAATAACCAGAGCCTCTCACCTTAATGAACTTACCAAGAAATAGTAGTTGCAATTATATAATGAGCACTACATACAAAAGTGAATATCCAGATACAATACTAAAGATTCAGACACAAGAAACCTGCAGTGGATCCCAGATATTTATATTTTAAAAGCTGCATTATGATTTTGATGTCCAGCCAGGGTGGAGAATTACTTTAGATGAGTGACAGGGGGGTGAAATGGCATGGGGAAGTAGAGGGTCATGGGGATACATGAAGGAACACCCAATCTGGTCTGGAAGGTAGGATGCAGATGACTTTTTGGAGGATGTAAAATTGAAGCAGAGACTTGAAGGATGAGAAACATTAAGTAGCTAAAAGGAAACACTGTAAAGAAAACAGTACCTTTGAAAATCCAAAGGACCCGTGCTGTGCTTAGTCGCTCAGTCATGTCTGATTCTCTGCAACCCAAGGACTGCAGCCCGCTAGGCTCCTTGGTCCATGGGGGTTCTTCAGGCAAGAATACTGGAGTGGGTTGCCATGCCCTCCTCCAGCCAATCTTTCCAAGTCAGCAATCGAACCCAGGTCTCCTGCATTGCAGGCAGATTCTTTACCAGCTGAGCTACCAGGGAAACCCAAGAATACCTGACAGAAGCTCATTATGACTGGAGCTTTGATCACAGTGGGGATGAATAGGGCTGATAGTGGTTAAAGGTTCCCCCGGGAGGAAACTCAACAGAAGAGAGCCCCAAATTCATGCCTGAAGCCACGTAACAAAAGAATTCAGTTGCCCTGAACTATAAGAATGAACAGGTTATATTCAAACTTCTGCTTGGGAACTTCGTCCTCCGGCTACTACCTATAACTTGACACATTCCTCAGAAAAATGAGGACTGCCCAACTGGCTCATGAAGTTGTTAGTGGAAACCTGCCTGACTTCTTCAGAACAGACTAGCAACCAGTCATGGGAAAGAACTATGTCTCTCACTTGACCCAAATGTTGTTCTAAATAATTGCTACAAACTCATCCTACTACCTCATTTACTTAATTCAGACCCCAGTATAACACAGTCATGTCTGAGAGGGAAGCCATTTTGTGAGCAGAAATATTCATTTTCATATTAAATTTTAATTATACAAATAATAACATGAATATACTCTCCATATAAACAATTAAAACATTAGAGACACTTTTTCTTTAAACTCTCTGCCTATCTTAATTTCCTCCTCAGACCTCAGAGGTAAGTAACCACTGCTACCAATTGACTGTGTACATTTTTCAGACTTTTTACATACAGTCATAGAAAATATGCAGCCTTATTTTATGGCTTTCCTTTTTAAAAATATATAAATATCATCATATTGAACTGCTGCTTTTTCACATAATAATTTTTCTTGGCAATGGAACAATGCTTTGTACAAAAAAATTGGGCTCCCCTGGTGGTTCAGAGAGTAAAGAATTTGCGTGCCGTGCAGGAGACCCAGGTTCAATCCCTGGGTCCAGAAGATCCCCTGGAGGAGGGCATGGCAACCCACTCCAGTATTTGTGATGGAGAATCCCATGGACAGAGGAGCCTGGCAGTCTACAGTCCATGGAGTCACAAAGAGTCAGACACGACTGGGTGACTAACATGCATACAAATTAACTAAATAAATAAATAATGATTTCAAGCTCCTCAGTGAAGCAGCCTTAAGTTTGATTCTTGGCTCTACTACTTTGACTTCAGGCAAATCATAACTTCATTTAAGCCACTGCTTTACCATTAAAATGGAGTTAATATCACTCATCTCTTAAGATTATTATAGTAAAATACCTAAGACAGCGTCTTTCCTAGAAATAAACCCCATCTTAATTTACTCATCAAACTTGGTACAGCATCCTGCTGCTTCTAAACACATAGGTCTACAAGCAAAATCTTCCAGTGCCTCCTGGAAATGTTCATGTGGGCATCCCAGTGTGTCCAAAATCATGACATTTTATCCTCAAGAGGCTTCTCTTCCTGAGGAGGCCGTGTCCACTCGCTGGTTCACATGGCCTAATTGTTGCCCCTACGCAGTTCTTCCCACATTCTGGTCTTTTCCACCCACCTCTATGGCTCAGAACCTCACTGGAGCTTTCTGGGATGAGAGTCCAACCTTCTCTCACTCCCCAGAATCCACATACTTTCCCCAGTTCTTCTTCAGCCCTAATCACCAATAAGTCTTTCTATCACCCAACACAAAAGTCAACATCCTTGAGCTTAGGGCTTTTCACCATCTGGCCCCAAATGACGTTNATTTGTGCTCTTTAAAGGTATTTACAAATTTATGTTCCACTATATTGCTACATTTCCAAAGACCACAATTTTTTAACCCAAAACTGCAATGGATTTTCCAAAGGATTTTCTAGTCTCTAACACTGAACCTTAAATTAGATGTTTCTCCAATCTTATTTTTGTGTCTTCCAGTCCTCTATAAAATTGATCTGGAAATCACATCATATTGGATAATGTTTGCAAATGGGACAGATGGAAAGGTTCATCCTCCTGGGTTGGAGGAGAAATTTATTTTCACACAACTTCTCTGGTTATATGTCTATGTAAACGTGAGTGGTCCCAATGCTCCTCTGAATTAACGATAATCTCAAATATAGCTCCAAAGCCCATAACGATGTAGAGCAGTACTTTAGAGGAATGATTGGTAAAGACTTCTCTCACCAAAGCAATCAGACTCTTCTTGTTTGACCAGGTAGGATTTAGTGTAGGTGCACTGAGGTTGGTTTGTTTTTTAAGAAACTTAAAGGCCGTAATAAAACTTCAAATGTTACCCTGACTCTCAGTCTTCGTACCTCCTTTTCACGAGCACCGAATGGCAAGCGATGCTCAGACTGTCCTGCTGCAGACAGACACGCCTGGCAACATATTTCACAGAGCCTGGAAATGCAGAGAAAGCACGTCTCCTGGAACAGAAAAAAGAAAGCAGCAATAAATATTTCTTCTGTCATAGAAACATACCGGAACAATTTGTGCCATGAGTTCATCAGAAAATAAAAATCATTAGTAGTAAATATTAATGGTAAATTATATATAATTTTAATATCTATATACAGAATATTATGAACTGTAAGTGTATATATGATTTCAGAATGTTCACCTATACTACTGTATAATATGCTCTATATTTAATATTACAAGACTTAACATGAACTTATGTGAGTAAAGCCTATAAACTACTATGCTTTCTTGAATAAATGCTTTAAAATCTAAATCACAGGAAAAAGATAGCCACCTTTAAAAATTTAGCACCAGATTTCAATAGAAACTGCAGAGTTTAATTTAAAAAGTGTTAGTAAGTACCTCTATTTTGTCAAGTCCTATTGTCCATGGATAGAAAGTTTGGCAGAAACAGAAGGTCAGGTATTAAAAAAAAAAAGATTCTAATTAAAAATATAATATCCATGCTAGGAATTATAGGGCAAAAGTACATAATCATTCCATTACATTTCTAACCCCCAGAATAGAGTGACTGCACTAAAGGACAAAACTAGATAAGACCTCTCTTGAGATTCAAATGTTTTAAAATGACAATAATTTGGGGAAGGGCTCTTCATTAGGACACTTAAAAATGGCAAAAGAAAAGCCAAAAGGAACAGCGGAGCTGTAGATAAACCCAATGGCTAGATACCTACAGGGCAGCAAAAGAAAGAATCACAGTTCAATATTTAAAGCAGAAAATATACATATTAAGTGTTGATAAAATGGAAGATTAGTGTGAAAAGCTGCCAAATTCTATGCGTTTTTATGTGTCCATGAATATTGCTGCAAATTGTGTATAAATGTTTCACATGTTAGAGATTAGTTCATTGTTATGCATCTTTAAAGATAACTGCATTTTCATAAAAAAGCATAATTTTTGAGCTAAAAAGAGCTAGAAAATTACCTAATCTAACTCTCACATTTTACAAATGAAAAAAAAAAAAAAAAAAGAATCTCCTGCATATTTTAATATCTGATTCACAGTTACCCTGCAAGAAATAGGGCTGGAACCAGCACTTGCCTCCTAATACATTATTTACATTGTGTGGTTGTATGCATAGGCTTAGGTTCCTAGTCATGTGATTCTAAGCAAGACTCAGTTTCCCCATATAAGGGTGGTAACTGTATTTAACTCAAAACTTTAAGTAACCCTCAGAAAAAGTGACATATATGCTCCACACAAAGACACTTAAAATGTCTGGTGTGATAAAATGTTCAACATTATAACTAGCTATTGCTATTGTGTTGAAACCCAAAACTCCATCACACCTAAATGGGATGCCTACCATTTAAAGCAAAGTTTCTCAACCCCACTTAATATAAGAAAATCCTGAAGAGTCCCTTTGAAGCACAAGCCTTAGCCCCAGGCAAAATTTATCTGAAATTCTAGAGAAGTATTCTCGAATTGTTGGCCTTTTAAATGAGTTCTTCAGAGAATTCTGATACAGTCCTTCAGTAATGGCTCACAGATCAGCATTTGGGGACCACCAGCAAGACTTCAGAAGTGCAGACCAGGAAAATCTCTGTATCCAAAGAGAAGGCTAGAAGAGAGGGCTTTACAAGTGTCATAAGGAATTTTTTATATTCCTTGTGTGACAAATATCTTCTTGATTGTGGTAATGGTTCCATGGATGTACACATATATCATAATTTATAAAATTTAAATATATTCAATCTCTTATATGTCATTTACAGCTCAATAAAACTTTTCTCTTAACTATATATATATATAAGAATTCTTAAGCAAAAACAACTTTCATGTAAATGTTCAAAAACATGTTGCAAGCAAAAAATAGAAAACACAAAATAACAAGTATGAATTAACTTAAATATTCATAAACTATTTAAATAAATTATTCAAATAAAATACTTAATATAAAAGGCCTAAAACTGTCAATTAAAATACAAACATAAATAAAATAGCCATACCACCCAAAGTCACCTACAGATTTAATGAAATCCTTATCAAACTCCCCATGACATTTTTCGTAGAACTAGAACAAACAATCCTAAAATTTATATGGAACAACAAAAGACCCAGAACTGCCAAAGCAATTCCAAGGAAAAAGAACAAAGTTGGAGGCATAACCCTCTCAAACTTCAGACAATACTACAAAGCTACAGTAATCAAAACATTGTAGTACTGGCACAAAAACAAACACATAGATCAATGGAACAAAACAAAGAGCTCAGAAATAAACCCACACACCTAAGATCAATCAATGGTGAACAAAGGAGGCAAGAACGTACAATGGATAAATGACAGTTTCTTCACTAAGTATTGATGGAAAAGCTGGACAGCCTCTTGCAGATCACTGAAGTTAGAACACCCCCTCACACCATAGACAGAAATAAACTCAAGATGGCTTAAAGGCCGAAATGTAAGATCTGATACCATAAAACTCCTAGAAGAGGACATAAGCAAAACATCCTCTGACATAAATTGTAGCAATATTTCCTGAGATTGATCTCCCAAGGCAATAGAAATAAAAGCAAAAATAAACAAATGAGACCTTATCAAACTTAGAAGCTTTTGCACAAAAGATACTATAAAAGATACCATAAAACTCCTAGAGGAAAACATAAGCAAGCCACTATTTGACATGAATTGCAGAAATACTTTTTGACTCTGACTCCTAGAGAAATTGAAACAAAAATAAACAAATGAGACCTAGTTAACACAGCAAAGAAAATCATAAACAAAATGAAAAGACAAGCTATAGACTGGGAGGACAACTCAATATCAGAAAAACAAACAACACAATCAAAAAATGGGCAGAAGACCTACACAGACATTTCTCCAAAGACAGCCAAAAGGCACATGAAGAGATGCTCAACATCACTAATTATGAGAGAAATGCAAGTTAAAATTACAATAAGGTACCACCTCACATCAGTCAGAATGGCCATCATTAAGAAGTCTACAAATAATAAATGCTGGAGAAATTATTGAGAAAAAGAAATGCTCCTACACTGTTGGTGGGAATGTAAATTGGCACAGCCACTACGGAAAACAGTATAAAAGTTCTTTAGAAAACTAAAATAGAGTTATCATATGATCCAGTGATTCCACTCCTGGGCATAAATCCAGGGAAAACTCTAATTCCAGAAGATACTTGCATCCCAATGTTCACAGCAGCGCTATTTACAGTAGCCAAGATAAAGAAGCAACCCAAGAAGTTGCCCATCGACAGATGAATGGATAAAGAACATATGAGTCTGTGTGTGTGTGTGTGTGTGTGTGTGTGTGTGTGTGTGTGTGTACACAATGGGATATTACTCAGCCATAAAAAAGAATGAAAATGCTATTTGCAGTGACATGGATAGACCTAGAGATTATCATACTAACTGAAGTAAGGCAGATGAAGTAAAACAAATATCATATCATATCACTCCTATGTGAAATCTAATTTAAGAAAATGATACAAATGAACTTACTCACACAACAGAAACAGACGTATAGATATGGAAACAAATTTACGGTTACCAAAGGGGAAACATGGGGAGAAAACATAAATCAGGAGTTTGGGATTAAAATGCACACACTACTGTGTATAAGATGGATGACCAACAAGGACCTACTGTGTAGCCCAGGGAACTCTACTTAATATTCTGTGATAACCTATCTGAAAAAGTATGAATATATGTACATGTATAAGTGAATTACTTTGCTACTCACCTGAAACTGACACAACATTGTAAATGAACTATACTCCAAAAAATTTTTTTAAAAAGAAATGGCAGTTTGGGGAGTCACAAAAATTATGTTTGGAGATGTTAATAAAACCTGGTGTCACACAAATTAAATTCAGGAAAAGAAATGTATGAATAACCAGGCAAATCATCCTACAATTCAGTGGGGGAAAGCACTATCAACAACAGAAAGATAACATCTGGGTTTCTGAGTCTAAGCATTTTATTAGTTGGGGAACTGCATATCTTAGCTTACCATGTTCATTTATTTCTTCTTTCTTTTTTATTTTTTTAAATTATGAAATTATGATAACACATTTACAGGAGACTTGGAAAATGCAGAACAAAGTTACATACAGTTTCACTATATATTATAATTATATTTTTTAAGTAGATAAATTAAAATTTTTAGTTGGAGTTTCAATAGCAAACTCTCAAAAATTAATAGAATGAATAAACAGAAAAGTAAAAGAATACAGTAAACTTGAAAAGCACTATAAAGCAATTCAACATAATTAAGATTTATTCAATTTTCACACAACAGCAGGATATACATTCTATTCAAGTTCTCATAGACTATACATCAGGAGACACTGGAACATATCTAGCGACATAAAATAAGATGCAAAAATTTCATGGTCTAAAGATATTGAACTCATACACAGTCTGTTTTACCACTGTGAAATTATGTTAGAAATCAATATAAAAAATCAATATCAAAAGATATTTGAAAATAATCCACATATTTTCAAGTATGGTGTGACATTTACCAAGAGAGATCTTTGACTTAGCCATTGAAAGCCTCAATAAAGTTGAAAGACTGAAAAAAAAACAAAAAACAAAAACAGAGTATTACAGAGAAGAAAGCATTTAAATGAGAAATTAGTATCAAAATGGATATCAAAGATACTTTAAAAAACATGTATTTGGAAATTCAATGTTCCACTTTTAAATGATGGGTATATCTAAGAAGCCATAACAAGGAAAATTAGAAAATATCTGTAACAGAATAAAAATGAAAAGAGAATTTATCAGAATTTATTGCATCAGCTGAAGCTGTTCAATGCAACAAAATACAATGTGTCATCTTGAATAAACAATGAAAACAAATAATGGACACCAGCACAAAATTTTGCAAAATTTGACACCACATTCATTAAAATTCATCCCTTTAAATGTATGAATTCCTTGAAAGAAGAGAGCATGTCTTATTCACCCTTGTATTCTTAGCACATGAACTTACACCTGGCACATAGTTGGTGCTCAATAAATATCTGATGAACAAGGGAATAATGAATTAATGGATAAAGCTATAATGAAGATTGCTTCCCTAATCAGAATTTAAATTTTTAATGAAGGAACATCGTTTCTGAATTTGGGAAATCAAAAGTTGCAGTGAGTGTTGCTCCGTTGTGTCCGACTGTAAGCCCATGGACTGTAGCCTGCCAGGCTTCTCTGACCATGGAAATCTCCAGGCAAGGACACTGGAGTGGGATGCCATTTCTATTCTCTTGCTCTCTTTCCTTAGGCAACTTTTCACAAATCCCTGACCTGTTCCTGGTCTTTGCTTTTACATTTGGAATCAGTGGTCTGAATGTGCTTCTCAGGCATCACAATTCTATTCAAGCAGTATTTTTCAAGTCCTTGTGAAACCTTAAGTGAAAGAAGACACATTCACTAAGAATTATTATATTACAATGGCATAGAAGAGAAGGATTCTTAAAATCAGTTTGCAAAAACAGCCACTTCAGCGGGTTTCTATCTCTGCCCCAGTTTTTCAAAATCAGCCAATAACAATCATTCCCTATAAATCAGACCTCCCTGAAGTTTTCTTCTTCTTTACAGTTGTAACAAGCTGGCTGCTTTTCCCTCATTACATTTTATGTCTTTGTTTTGTTTGCACAGTCCCCTTTCTTCCTACATTGTAACTCTTAACTCTGTCATGCCATGCTAAATTTATGGGTGCAAAAATGTTGGTTTCTAGCAGCTCTTAATAAAAAATCTACCCTAATTACCAAAAAAAGGGAATTAAAAATCAGAACATGCCACTCTTTGCAAGGACTGATGTACTTGCAAATTCTGACAACCTGTGAAGTGGCAAATTACCCTGAAGGGAACTCTATTTCATATGTCCCGGCCATTCAGAGATCTACATGCAGCAACACTCAGTAAAAGAACTCCTCTCTATATGGGAGAGAAATTATTCTATACACATGACTAGCATCCAATAGGGAAGAAAAACAAGAAACATGATAGAGAAATCACAACCAAGTCCAGCTTCCTCCATAAGGATGATCTCTCTAGACCTAAGCCCTAAGACACAGCCCTCTAGCCTCACAGAGAAAGACTAAGGGATCAAAGAAAGAAAAATAGTGATTGATTACCCTAATGCATTATTTAAGCAGAGGGAATGGTAATATAAACAGTTCTCTGAGAGACTGAGTGAAACCACTCAGTCGTATCCGACTCTTTGCGACCCCATGGACTGTAGCCTACCAGGCTTCTCCATCCATGGGATTCTCCAGGCAAGAGTACTGGAGTGGGTTGCCTTTTCTTTCTCCAGGGGATCTTCCCTACCCAAGGATCAAACCCAGGTCTCAAGAGATTAAACATCAATTAAACATTTGTGAAACCTGATATCTGGCCCTACTAATCCTTCCTCTTCTATATATTGGACATACAATGCTATTGCCTTTATCTGCATTATAATGTATATTATTACCATTATTCTGTGTTTATATATATATATATATATATATCCTCAACCCCACTAAGGCTTCCCAAGTGGCTCAGTGGTAAAAATCCTCCTGCCAATGCAGGAGATGTGGGTTCCATCCCTGGGTCGGGAAGATCCCCTGGAGAAGTAAATGGCAACCCACTCCAGTACTCTTGCCTGGGAAATCCCAAGGACAGAGGAGTCTGGCGGGTTACAGTCCATGGGGCTGCAGAAGAGTTGTACATAACTTAGCAACTAAACAACAACAACAACCCCAATAAGACTGAGGGCACTTTAAAAATATTAGGAATTCATCATTTTTTGCTCACAGAGACTGGCATGAAGATGGCATGTCACTGATGCATATTTGTTGGATGTACGTTTTTATAAAAATTTGCCAATGGTCACTCTTTAAGGACAACCAAGAGAAAGACAAAATTGCTTTTACTTATTTCTCTATTTCAGTCCAGTAACCAGAATCACACCCAAATGTAAATTATGTTTTCACCCCATTTAAGCTACTTCTGATGGCTCCACCGAACTGGCAAATAAGAATATGTGTTGCTATTGTTTAACTTATTAAAAAGATCATTATTTTAACTTCCAAAACCCTCAATATCTAATTATGATATTGTGATGCTTATTTAACAGAACTACATAGATTATTTTAAAGTACTTTCATGAGCTTCTATGAAACGTGAAAAGGATAATCTGAGATTAAAACAACAGTGTACTAATATCAAAAAACTATTTGAGGTGACAAAAAGAAAATTGTAGCGAAAGATTCACTAGCAATAGTCCCATTAATAAATGAACACAGATATGAAACTGATCAGTAGTAGCTGAATTACTGAGCCCCAAGCCCATCTGTTCCAGTTTTATGAGTCAAAAATCAAAATTGCATGAGTTGGTGAATACCCAATCTTCACAAACATCAGAGTCAAATTAAGGAAATTACCCAATTCACCAAATGCAGCTCAGTAGATCATCAAACCATTTAAAGCACAATTTTATACCAAAAAAACAACCAAATACGCCATGATCTTGTGCAAATGAATAATAACAGCCAGATGGAGCAATCAACTCGGAGGCTTGGCAGTATGAACCTTGGCACAGTGATTATCAGTCATGTGGAAAGTCAATAGGCCGCCATCAGAGAATCAGCAAAATGAGACTCAGGAAATTCACCCTGAACAAAGGGAAGAAGAAAGGCCTTCCCTGGATTTAAAGAAGCCAAGAAGACCAGACAATATGGGTATGACAGAAATAGTAGGAATATTAAAGTGGAACCAAACCAGATACTAACAATAAATCTACCACCTATTACTTGAGGCATTAAATTGTTAGCTCTTCTGTTTCTTCTAGAACATGGAAGTCAAGGCACCCACGCCATAGAGTTGCCAGGATCAAATACTACATTCTTCAAAGCAAGAGCACACTCTCTCAAACATTGTTGATTGACAAAACAAGTAAGAATCACTGAATAGTGGCAATGACATCACAGGTTCTCCGTGCTCATATTATCACTGCTGAAAAACCACTAGAATCTCTTCTATCTAAACTGTGCAGCGTCCTGGATTTCAAAGTGGTTTCCCATGACAGAGACAGTGCTACGTGTTCAAGTCATTCTTCCTGGAGGCATAGAAGCAGGTTTCCAAGCCTCACGGAAAATGGGTTCTGGCCAATTTAAAGTGAAAGTACTGGTCACTCAGTCGTGTACAACTCTTTGCACGGACTATAGATCCACAGACTGTAGCCTGCCAGGCTCCTGTGTCCACGGAATTCTCCAGGCAAGAACACTGGAGTGGGCAGCCATTCCCTTCTGCAGAGGGTCTTCCTGACCCGGGGATCGAACTTGAGTGTCCTGTACTGCAGGCAGATTCTTCACTACCAATTAGAAGCAGGCAGAAAGAACATGACACTGCTAGTCCTGCCCTTAGAATCTCTTGTGGAAACAGTACTACATCTTTTGGTCTGTGGTTTTCCACCCTGTTATGTTCAAGTCTTTTTCCACCCCTTAGCAATGATTTCTGCAGATTCTAAAATTCCTGATTATTTCAAATTATTAAAATATAGTTCAACCAATTTAAAAATTCAGCCTTGAAAACTTCCCTTTCCCCTTCCCCAACACAAGCTGCTGGGGCCCTGGCTTCCCAGAATGGAGAAAGATCATGAGAATGAATGGCTGCACCCACCTCCCTCCTCTAGGGAGACACTGATGCTGGGTCAGGGAGGAAGGGTAGAATATAGGGCCTCCTTCAATTGCTGTCCATCTCTCTGTCATCGATGAGGATTAAGTCCCTGGCCTCACTCTGGTTCACTCGAAGGTGGCTGACATTCATCGCCTCCTTTTCTGTGTTGGCCTTCACATCAGCACAGGATTTTCTTGGCTCCTCTTCTCTCTGGCTCTCTCACCTATTCAATGGAGCAACTATTTCTTGTGTAAACCTTGCCAGCTATATAAGGCCTCCCTGCCTTCTTCAGGTTGGCTGTCTCTTTGCCAGGCCTAGTGGACCCCTAGGAAGCCCTCAGCTGCTGTTTCTTCCCTAGCATTTGAATTTCCCTATGAAGAGTCCATGGAACTGTCAGGTCTGAACCCTCTGAGGGCAAAAGTGAATGGCACATGGTAGAGTCACCTCATATTCTTCTCAAACACATTTCATCACAGGCCTTTTGAGCCTGTGGATCTGTGCCACACCAATGGTCTCCCAACTCTGGATCCCCACAGCGAAATCAAATGAGTCCTTATGTTTATCAACACTCAGGCCCCCCACTCAAGAACCGGCCCTGTGTGTTTTGGAAGCAACACCAGGGTGAGCCACCAGGGTGAGCCACCTGAACAAAGCAGAACCTGAGGCTGGGACTAAAGAGCTGATACTTTATGAAAAGGTGCAAGACCAGAATGGCACAGGGAAGGAAAACAAGGGGAAACGAGATGAAGAAAGACGGGCAGTAAGAGGGAGTGTGCTACCACACCAGCCTCCGCTCCACAGCCAGCCGTGAAGAGACGCTGCGCATCCCTCACCAGGCACATGCTCTCAGCAGGTAGGACTTCTCCAGACTGTTTACAAGGAGAAAATGTAC